TTCTGTTTCTTGTGGATAGAAAAATAAAACAGTTAAGGATAATGAAAAAAAAATGGTGTGTTTTTTTTTGTTGTTAATATTTACCAAAGAACAGTACGGATCATTAAGTCGAAAATCTAATGTTGCCGTTTGCAATGTTTTAAATAAATCACGATGGTCAAATTTACATGGATCACTTTGTATATATTCATCAAAACCAAGATTTTTTGAACGATCAGAATCTAAATAAAAAAAAGATAAATATTAGATTTCAATATTGATGTTATTATTAACCTGAAAGATCTTTTTGTCCTGATGTTGAATTTAATTTATTAATTTGGGTTATTGGTGTTGGTTTATGTGATTGACCAGTAGCACGATATAATGCTTGTACCCAACTATGTCGTTCATTTTCTTCATTTGTTGCAAATGTAACAACATCACCTTCACGTACAGCTTTAAGAAAGATTTTCCATCATGCATTATTAAACCTTTTAATAGTCAAATATTTATTTATTTATTTGTTTTTATTTATTTTATTTCTTTACCATTATCAGGTTCAGCATAATCAACAGTATAACCTTCAAGTGGCATCATTTCAGTTGGTTCGGATTTTCTTTCACGATAACTACATGTTGCAAAACAATATTGAGATACCTGAAAATCATTTGTTTTTGTCATTTATTTAATAAACATATATTAATTTCTATTTGTTAAATCAATCACAAATTATTTTCTTTGATATATATATAAATGAAAAAATGTAACACGAACTGTTATCTTATTAATAAATTCATTAATATTATCTCTCTAGAATACATTCAACAAAGTTAATATTTACATTGAATACCCTCGATGATAAATTCATTATTCTATATATAATTTCAATAGTAAACACTTGAGATTTCAAACAAATATTCTTCAATGTCAAACTAATCCTTTTCTTCTATACCAAAACCAAATTCCTATAATCACACGTTTTTCTTTCTATTGTCTACTTAATCAATATTTCATATTGAATATTTATTCAATATATAAATATAGATGACAATTGACACTTGTTAATTATCGTTTTTTTTATTTTGTTTATTCGAATAAATATAAAATCTAAGAATTATTTACCTGAACAAGTGCATAATATCGTTGTTTCCATGTTTTCCATACATTTTTTCCTCTAGCATAGCACCATCTTTGAATAATAAAAGAAAAAAAATTGGTAAAAATTGTTTAAAATATTTTATGAAATGTAACCATACCCACACATTTTAAGATTTTGTGGTTTTTCCATTCTAACATCTAATTTAAATTTAAATTGTTCATTTGATGTATATTTACATTTAATCATATCAATCCACCAATTTGTTTTATTAAAAATAGGATCAATTTGTAAAGATAATTTTCCAAGTTTATTATCATGTAAACTAAGTAAACCAGGATTTTCCATAAAATCTTTAACGTTAATAATAGGTAAAATTTGATTTGTTGAAAATTCAGCTAAAGATTCCCAAACAGGTTTTCCAGCTTCAGCATGTTCAGTTCGATATTTTTCTCCTCCTTCAACTTCCATTGTACAATAAACAATACGATTTGTTGGAATTGATTTTAAACCACGTACTTCTTTACATGTTATATTAACATTAAAATTTAAAACGAATGGTAATTTTGATAAACCAGCATCATTCTCTTCAAAATTTGATTCATTATATAATGATTCATTTGATGAATAAAGTAAAGATGAACTTCCTAATGAACTTCCATGACGATTATGACTATTGATTGATTATATTTTTTTTAATCTAAAATCTTAATAAATTAGATACAAAGAAATGTTTAATTCGATGCTGCTTTTTTTTGTTGTTATAAAAAATTTGAATAATTTTATTTAACCAAATTTTTTCTCATAAGTAGATTTTGTATTTAAACATGATGAGAATCGAAAAACCGGACTAACTAAATCTGCTAATGACCAATTTCAAATCTTGAGTGTGCGGTTGATTCTGTTTTTGAGCAAAAAATTAATTACAAGAAATTATTTTTCTGATTGAATGAAACAATGATTAATTAGAAATTGCGATATTTATATGTTTCTTCTCGATGTTTATCAATGAATTAAAAGACGACAACTTTTTCACGAAGAAAATAAAGTGGTTCAAATTTATCGTAAAAAAGATGGAAAATATATTTAGAGGAACATAAGAATAAAAAACAAAGTGAATCTCCCTTTTCCCTTTTTATTTATTTATTAATAGTTAAATATATTTTATTGGAAATCTTTACTTGTTTTTTTTTCTTATTAGTGTACTCAAAAAGTGAGTACACTACTAGAATCGGTCAGGGTGTCCGTCCGTCCGTTTACACGATAACTTTGGAAAGGAGAGTCCGATCATGATGAAATTTTCTACACAGTTCAGTCTTTACAATATCTCGGTCGAGTTCGAAAATGAGAAGGATTGGCCGAGCCGTTCCTGAGTTATTGCAAAAATACCCATTTTCTCCTATAGCTTCCTATGAAAAAATCGACCCATCCCCGCTTTCGTAAAAGACTTTTCCTATCATAGTCAATTAAAACCCCAACTATTATATACCATTCGATAGAGAATTTCAAGAGCTACAAAATAATATATAAAACATAAAGAAGCAAGAAGGTTGACTCATCTATCACAAGGATACTAAAAGAGAACTAGGTTATATTTTGGTCCACTATCTAATTGATCCACAAACAGAGCTTTATCTTCCGATCACAGTGTTGATATTTCGAGGTTTTCAAAGACGGAGAACTCGAATGTGTACTGCACTTCCATCGAAATACTATTAGTTGTGCAGTGACCAATAGAAATGAAGTTATAGGAAAAACGACTTTCGTAGGATAAATCAAGGGAAAGAGTTCAAACTTGAGCTGTATTCGATCCAGGGTTGGAACCGGTCCGGCAAACCGGTACCGGACCGGTTGAAGAAATCAACCGGGCCAGTAAAGACCGGAATTTCACCGGTTGAAATCTTTCAAAAATCTTCTTTGTTAATCCTGTCTTTGACCATAAAAACTAAGGTATCACATGTTTTTTCGGTCAGAATAGGTAAAAAAGTGCTCAAAACATATGTTATATTAATCGTTTTTCCTGAGGTTCTCTTTAAAAAGATTCATTATGATGAGCGTCTTTTACATGCGCCTTCAACTATTTCATATTTGGAGCGATTTTTTCTAAAAATCAGTTTTCAAAAAAAAATTCGACATTTTTCCACCGGTTGGACATGAGATTCCAACCGGCCGGTTTCCGGCCGGACCGGACCGGTAGGATTTTTCAACCGGTCGGACCGGATCGTTTTAATATTTCTCAACCGGTTCCACCCCTGATTCGGTCCCAAATTCTATTCGTTTGGCAACGCGCAATAGAAATCAACATTTGAAATCGTAGGTTCCCCAGTATAATTTTCATGTTCAGACATTCTAGGATGACTGATCCGTATGAGTCACTTTTTGAAGTACACATAACTCTCGGATTTAAATCCGAAGTTTCCGCATTTATTTAAGAAAAAAGTTGGAATGTGCCTTCTCACGACTATTTTGAGAGATTCTCAAAGGTTT